GTTTAAAGGATGTCATCCACAAACGTAAGTCAGTGTGGCCTTAGGTTGACTTCAGAATCATTGTTCGTTACCTCTGGGTTTGGCGGTGTTAAAGTTGAGGATTTGATATCGTCACAAGTTGCTATATTCCAGTTTTTCCCCGAATGCTTTTTCTTAATCTTGTCAAATATTGAGAGATTTGAGGCCTGATAGTCACAGCTCATAGGTTAACTGCTATAAAATATTATGACTTTGCAGACACGTTTCTGAACAAAATTCTCAACAGTTACGTGACATTGCTTTAGCTGTCCCCATTGAACTGACTGCCTCTGTCATGTGCCATTCTAATACTTCTATACATTTGCTTAATCAGCCTTGTGACGATAGGCTCGGCTAAATATGCCGTGGGTGTATGAGGTAATGGTATATAGACAATAAAACCATTATTTATATTCTGATATTGTACAAAACACTCCAAAACAAATTACAAAAACAAGACAACACAAATACCAATAACGAAGCTATATGGGATCAATAATCTCTAGTTTGTACATGATCAAGGATTTGTAAAGGTAAGCGTATAGGTATGTATTATATTTACGTCGAAGCACACTGAAATACGGAAAGGCGTAATTTGCCTTTCAGTGGCCTTTACGAAGTCGTAAAGTCTACTGAAATATTTTCCCACCTTTAATAATTCTTTACATTGCGGAAAATTTGCCTAAATTTCGGTTTTCGTGCTGTGCTTTTGCTTTAACCTTTTTTTTTAGAATATTCTTTAGTCGGTGTATAAGGCCATTTGGCCCATTATATACGCCTAACATCCATAGCGGGTTTTTGCAAGGGGACTGTTCAAAATCTAAAACATTCAGAACAGATATGAAATTACAAAGAATGGGAATATTGAAGAGTAATATTCTGTGTTTCTTTCTCCTTGTTGATATATTTTTCTTTTGAGCACTGTTTATACATAATAAACACCCTACAAAATCTTAATGACATTATTTTGTACAACAGTCACCAAATATATGCTTCAGATATTTAGTCCAACATGTTAAGCCCCTGTCACATAGCCGAATTTATTATTGCCTCCTGGCAAATTTGAATCAAATTTATCTCCAATTCGATTTTATTCGTATCGGTAGGTAGGCGTGGTATCTGCAAAAGAATGCTGCCGAACGTCATCCCGACTTGGGTCGGCTGGTGCTGGTGTTCGGGGGAAGGTTCTGCATGTGTGACAGCGACTTAATACTTAATCTAGGCATCGAAATTTCAAGAATATGAGTTGAGTGGTAAAACAGTTTTCTCTATTAGACTTTTTGGGTTTCTGAAAAAAATGACAAAATAAGGTAAAATCTGCAAGAACAATTTGCCGGTCAAAGAGTTACAAATTCTCCGACTAATTTAAATTTATCCTCAAGTTATTCTCCCTATTTGAGCAATTTCTTTTTTATCAGTAGCCTAAGGATTGGGGTAGAGACTAGAAAGAGAGAACGATAATTTCTTAATATTTCGGCGTAAGTGAGGATTCCTGTTTAAAGGGGCATTATGTAGCATTTTGCACCAAAATTGAAATATTTGAAATGAAAAATATACTACTGTGATTGTAATTTACTTCCACTTTTCAACATTTTTGTGCAATTATGCCAAGCACAAATGTGTGACGAAATTATTATCAACGTGCGAAGTCTTTCAGTCCGTTTGAGGCAATAGGTTTGTCCAATCGTGTTATTCCTACAATTGAAATGGTAAAATAGTGGTTAGGTGAAGTTAGTTCCCTCCCCTGGGATCTCCCATGGCCAGTATACGTACATGTACTACTAGGTGTTAGGAAGGGTGAGGTGAATGGACGAACGCTGTGCTGTGTTTTGGGTTCACTCCCCTGGGATCTCCCATGGCCAGTAGGTGTTAGGCAGTATGACGGTGGGGAGGGACGCACGCCGTGCTGTGTTACGGGTTCCCTCCCCTGGGATCTCCCATGGCCAGCAGGTGTTAGGTTTAGGTAGTGTGACGGTGGGGAGGGACGTACGCCGTGGTGTGAAATGTGTTCCCTACTCTGGGATCTCCGACGGCCAGTAGGTGTTAGGTAGTGTGACGGTGGGGAGGGACGCACGCCGTGGTGTGAAATGTGTTCCCTCCCCTGGGATCTCCCATGGCCAGTAGGTGTTAGGTAGTGTGACGGTGGGGAGAGACGCACGCCTCGGTGTGTTACGGGTTCCCTCCCCTGGGATCTCCCATGGCCAGTAGGTGTTAGGTAGTGTGACGGTGGGGAGGGACGCACGCCGTGGTGTGTTACGGGTTCCCTGCCCTGGGATCTCCCATGGCCAGTAAGTGTTAGATAGTGTGACAGTGGGGAGGGACACACGCTGTGGTGTGACAAGGTTTCCTTCTCCTTGGATCTCCAATGACCAATATGTGTTACATGTAGGCTGTGTGAGAAAAGCGATATGAGCTCTTGTGACGTCCCCATCTCTGGACAGGATTGCATCTGTGACGTTGACGTACCTGCTCACACCTTGGTCAGCAGGCTGAGATACCAAAGCTGTCCTCTGCTGTCGCCGGGACCTTATACCTTCAACCTCGGAGGCGTTTCTGTAGAAGGGATTTCGCTGGCCGTCGGTCTGTCCTGTCGATCCATATGTGACCATGGATCGTCCAGACCGTCGATTCTGTCGCCTGTTTGTGACGACATGAAGCGAGATTTCTCCAGCATCAGCATAGAAAGACATCGGTCCGCTTTCCTCGTCATCTGGGATCTCACTGTAGGTATGATGTAGGGCAGGCAGAGGACGTTGTGAGGCAGTTTGGTAATCTGGGATCTCACAGGGTGGGAGGGCGGGCAGGAGGCGGTTTGCAGCGGGCATGTGATCTGGGATCTGGCTGTAGGTGGGTTCAATGGACGGTAGGACAGCCGGCAATGACCTACGGGATGCCGCCTTGTCTGGGGCGCCCCCCGCGACTACACGCGGGGAGGGATGCCGACCGGACCACACCGGGGATCACGTCATCTGGGATCTCACAGTACACGAGTGGGAGACCGGGTAAAGGCCTCTGAGCAGACGCTACGTCATCTGGGATCTCACTGTAAGTAGGTTCAATGGAGTGTAGGACAGCGGGCAATGACCTACAGGAGGCTGCGTCATCAGACGCCATCTTGCCTGAACATGCAGCAGGGAGGGAAGCAGACCTCAGCAAGCCGGGGAAGGTAACGCCAGGCGGGATTGTCCAAACGTGTGCATCGTCGCTGTCCCTGTCATCTTCAGCGTTCAACCTCGCTGCGCGCACCTTCCACAGCAACACTGCAAGGGACAACATCACCAGAACAACCACTACCGAGACAACAACTGGGATGAGAACATGGCCTGGTGTCTGAACCACCTCTAGATCTGGTCCAGGTGTGGGATTCACCCCGTGTGTAGACCGGTCTGAAGTTGTGTTGTCTTTCTCTGTACTTTCAAAGTAGTGTGTCGGACTGCTGGAGTGGTCAGTACTAGTTTTGTATGTTGTCTCTGTTGTGTAGGTGCCAAGCTGGACCAAGGTTTCTGTTGTGTGGGTGTTACGCTGAACTAAGGGGACGGTGAAGAACACCTCTGTGTGTTCTCCTCTGGTGAGAAGAATACAAGTGACGTTCTTCGTCTTGTCATGGGTGATGTTTGTGTGAGTAGTGTTTTGTTGGCTACTGCCAGACTCTGTGCTGTTGAGAGTGTTCGTGTCTTGTGTCTGGACAAAAGACATGGCAACACCGTCAGAGCCTACGGTACTCTCTGTGGCCACGGAAACCAATCGAACGACTGAGTTTTGCACCATGGACACTGCAATGCCTCCGTCATATTCCCAAACCTGCCTGCACTGCTCGAGTGTCTTGGTGTCCAGTGTGTCTGTCAGAGAGCCGTCGGTAGCCAGGACAACTACAGGGGGCTGGATGGAGATCGTGCTCAGAGAGCTATCCAAATCACCACATGATCTGCCGGGGATGAGCGCTCCAAATTCGGTGTTACCAGCCACGTTGTCGGATGAAACAAACATCCACCCAAACGAGAGTTCGTGCGCATTTTGCCTGGCACAGAAAAGGAACTTGGGTACCCCAGCGGTCATTGTAACTGACTCTCCCCTCACACTGGCGAACCGATGTAGGCTCCACATCATTTCGTGTTGCGTTGCACCGTGGACAGACGGCAACATACCACTGCTGACATAGAGCTGTGAGAGCATAGTCTGTCCCCACAACACCTCCAAACATGACAGATCATTATCCCTCAGGTCTAACCGGGCCAGCTGTAGCTGTTTGAATGACGCCTTAGAAATGCTATGGATTGCATTCGACCTCAAATCCAGGTACCTCATTGTTGTAACTCCAAAGAGCCAGGAAGGATCTACAACCTTTAAGAGGTTGTTATGCAGATCCAACAGATGTAGTCGAGTCAGGCGCCCGAAGCTTCCTGCCTCTATCTGCCTGATGTTATTGTTGGACAAAATCAGCATAGAAAGGCCTTTCGAGCCAGTGAACCAAGCCTGCTTGATATAGGTCAACCTGTTAGAATTAAGGGACAATTTCATCAGACGAGAAAACCCAGCAAAGGTGTTGTTCTTCACATCAGCTATCTTTGCATCTATCAAAGCCAAAGTGTGGACCTCCGCCTGCTCGAGCGGTGCCAGTGTCAAGGCCGACAGGACATGGATTGGGTATCCTCTTATTGCCACACGATTTACCCCACTAGCGAGAAAAGGAAAGGGACTTGCAGTGGCAACACTCCCATTCAGGACTTCACACACGACGCATGCATTTGTGCCAGAAGTGTGCAACTTCATGTACGTAAAAGAAGAAACACACTGCTGCCATTCAGCAGTCTTACATAATCGTGAACCACTTGAGGCTGCACAGGCAGCGTCTGAGAGAAGCAAGACCAATATGACCGCGTTTGTCTTCGCACTTCTTACAGACATTCCGTTTACCCGTAGCCAAACGTTTCATTTGAGAAACGATTTGTCACCCACCTGCAGTCTGCATTCTATACTACATCCGCAGATCTGTAAGCATCAAGGACAGGCTTCCTTCCCCTTTTCAACAAGCACGTTTGGCACTGACGGCCGCAGTGGCGTCTGAACAAATACCATGTACCAGACGAATGACCCCTCAGTATTTATGTTTATGCACTTCGCGATTGGCGAAGTGCGTAATTACTACCTTCGCCAGAAGGTTCCGGGTCGGAGTATAAATCTGACCAGGGTTCCCGAATAGTGCGCAGTAAATCGCCGGATCTGCGAGGTTGTCACGCTAGGTTTGGCTCCCCATAGCTCGTCGATCGTTGTAGATTTTCGAATAGGTTTTGAATTGATAAAATAAAAACCTTGTGATTGTAGTGTTTTTCGGCGTGGTGAAGTTGGACGGCCAGCGAAGCGTTTTCAGTATCAGTCCGCGTGCAAGGGTGATGCGGTTTGTCGCCTGATGACCCAAATTATAAATAGCTGCGTTCTATGTGGAATGTCAAGGCAGTCGCATCATCGGATTTTGCGGAAAACTTATTGCAACAACCTATATGTTTTTTTTTTCCTGTTTTTCAGAAACAGGAAGTAGTAAGCTATTTCAGCATATAAGCCGTTAGCCTGGGAAAATTCATTTTTTTCCAGGCAGGTCCGTCGAAAAAAGTGCTAAAAAACTACATTTTTCGTATCCAAAATTTACGTCTAACTACAGTTTCTACCCAAATTATAGAGTCAACAGACAATAACCAAAATTGTATCGGAAGCAGGCTGAAAACCTCCGTTGACTGATGTAATGAGATTTCCCGGCGTACTTGGCGGAGCCTTGTAGCCCTTCGGTCTGAGGGTGTCCGCCGGATCCAAAATCGTGAAAAAAAACTCCGAGAACAGAAGTCATGTTTTTGGTTTGGTTTGGTTTGGTTTGATACTATAATACCCTCTTATGATTCTATGCACTCTCATGAATGTGACATTTATGGGAGTTTGATGGAAATAAGGTGCTACAATATTGTAAGGATTGGAGATGCCATTGTCACATTTCTTGAAAATCTGAAATCATGTGGACATTCACATTTATATGAAAAATATATTATATAGTGCCTTTATTTACACAGTTTAATGGACAGGTACTAAATATAGGGCAATGACACACATGTAAAGAAGCCAAAATAACAGCCTTTTGCGTCTAGCCCCCACATTCCTGTTCGGTGTGGCCCAATTGTATATATATAAATGAAATATACACCAAAGGTGTCGTGGCCCGTAGTTAAACTGACCATTACTTTGTTGGCGTAAGGACGTTGTCTAGAGGCCATTAGCGGCATATTAGCTTATTTATAGAAAAAGAGATGACAACAAAAATCTGTACAACACCTAAGCAAGGTTAAAGATTAACAAGATAACAGACACCAACTGCACCTCACATAGTTTCATTCAAAGGCCCGTTGTACTTCCACTTGTACGATCCGCCAGAGGCCCCAACTTATAACTCTTCAGCTATGCCCCAAAATCTATCCACCACTTTAATATTAGAGGCCCGTTAACGTAACAAACTCGACCTTTTACTTTTATCACTATCCATCCACGTACAACATCTCGACTTATCCTGTTTGCAAACAAACAAATAAACAAACACAAAAGATCTCCTGCAGTAAAGTAGGACGTCAAGTAGGAACCACCTCATTTAAATACTTCCCATAATCCTATTCGGCAGTAGTTTTGACGGGAAAGCTAGCTTTTTTTGGAGCTAAGCAGACGATACGTCAGCCTGAAAAATGCCGAAAAAGTACGATATTCTCATTATTTTTCCTCAGAATTCCATACAAGCAAAGGAGATATGCCACAGCTGTAACGCAGGATCACTTGGCCTATTCTCGAACTAGACGTTCCTTTACCATCTACTAAATGTTATCACGATTAATCCACAGCGTTTTGATTTATTCTGTTCACAAACCAACAAACGCAAAGGGTTTAACTGCAGCCTTAGTCTCCACAACAAAAACTTGTCTAACAAAGATCATAAACATCCATCCACGACTTCAGGAGCCATGCCGCCTACACGTCACTCAACCGCAGCCAATCCAAAAACATGACTTCTGCCGAAGTTGGTAATTTCGTCAATCGCTGTGTGCATAAACATAAATACTGAGGGGTCATTCGTCTGGTGAATAAATGCAAGGTTCGTTCAGACGCCACTGTGGCTGGCAGTGCCAAACGTGTTAGTTTCCGGAGCTTATTGAAAAGGAGAAGGAAGCCTGTCATTGATGCTTACAGATCTGCGGATGAAGTACACAAACTGCAGGTGAGTGACAAATCATTTCTCAAATAAAACGTTTGGCTACGGGTAAACGGAATGTCTGTAAGAAGAGCAAAGACAAAGGCGGTCATATTGTTCTTGCTTCTCTCAGACGCTGCCTGTGCAGCCTCAAGTGGCCCACGATTTCCTCAGTGTAAGGCTGCTGAATGGCAGGAGTGTGTGTCTTCTTTTACGTACATGACGTTTCACACTGCTGGCACAAATGCATGTGTCATGTGTGAAGTCCTGAGTGGGAGTACTAGTGTTGCCACTTCAAGTCCTTTCCGTTTTCTTGCTAGGGGGGCAAATGGTGTGGCAATAAGAGGATACCCATTCCATGTCCTGTCGGCCTTGACACTGGCACCACTCAAGAAGGCGAAGGTCTACACTTTGGCTTTGATAGATGCAAAGATCGCTGATGTGAAGAACAACACATTTGCTGGGTTTACTGGCCTGATGAAATTGTCCCTAAATTCTAACAGGTTGACCCATGTCAAGCAGGCTTGGTTCACTGGCTTGGAGAAGCTCTCTCTGCTGATGTTGTCCAACAATAACATCAGGCAAATAGAGGCAGGAAGCTTCAGGCGCCTGACTCGACTACATCTGTTGGATATGCATAACAACCTGTTAAAGGTTGTAGATCCTTCTTGGCTCTTTGGACTGGAAGGAATGAGGTACCTGGATCTGAGGTCGAATGCTATCAATAGCGTTTCCCCGGGGTCGTTCCAACAGCTACAGCTGGCCCGGTTAGACCTGAGGGATAATGATCTGTCATGTTTGGATGGAGAGGTGTTGTGGGGACAGACTATGCTCTCACAGCTCTATGTCAGCAGTGGTATGTTGTCGTCTGTCCATGGTGCAACGCCACACGGAATGACATGGGGTCTACATCGGTTAGCCAGTTTGAAGAGAGGGTCAGTTACAATGACCGTTGCGGTACCCAAGTTCCATTTCTGTGTCAGGCAAAATCCTTACTCCGAACTCTCGTTTGGGTGGATGTTTGTTTCATCCGACAACGTGACTGGTAACACCGAGTTTGGAGCGCTCATCCCCGGCAGATCATGCGGTGATTTGGATAGCTCTCTGAGCACGATCTCCATCCAGCCCCCTGTAGTTGTCCTGGCTACCGACGTCTCTCTGACAGACACACTGGACATCAAGACACTCGAGCAGTGCAGGCAGGTTTGGGAATATGACGGAGGCATTGCAGTTTCCCTGGTGCAAAACTCAATCTTTCGGTTGGTTTCCATGGCCACAGAGAGTACAGTCTCTGAAGGTGTTGCCATGTCTTTTGTCCAGACACAAGACACGAGCTCACTCACCACCATAGAGTCTGGCAGTAGCCAACAACACACTACTCACACAGACATCGCCCATGACAAGACAAAGAACGTCACTTGTATTCTTCTCACCAGAGGAGAACACACAGAGGGTTTCTTCACCGTCCCCTTAGTTCAGCGTAACACCCACACAACAGAAACGTTGGTCCTGCTTGGCACCTACACAACAGAGATAACATACAGAACGGGTACTGACCATTCCAGCAGTCCGTCACACTACTTTGAAAGTACAGAGAAAGACAACACAACTTCAGACCAGTCTACACACGGGGTGAGTCCCACACCTGGACCAGATCTAGAGGTGGTTCAGACACCAGGCCATGTTCTCATCCCAGTTGTTGTCTCGGTAGTGGCTGTTCTGGTCCTGTCGTCCCTTGCAGTGTTGCTGTGGAAGGTGCGCACAGCGAAGTTGAACGCTGAGGATGACAGGGACAGCGACGATGCACACGTTTGGACCATCCCGCCTGGCGTTACCTTCCCCGGCTTGCTGAGGTCCGCTTCCCTCCCTACTGCATGTTCAGGCAAGATGGCGTCAGATGACGCAGTCTCCTGTAGGTCATTGCCCGCTGTCCTGCATTCCATTGAACCTACTTACAGCGTGATCCCAGATAACGTAGCGTCTGCTCAGAGGCCTTTGCCCGGTCTCCCACACGTGTACTCCGAGATCCCAGATGACGTGATCTCCGGTGTGGTCCTGCCGGCATCCCTCCCCGCGTGTACTCGCGGGGGCGGTCCAGAAAAGGCGGCATCCTGTAGGTCATTGCCGGCTGACCTACCGTCTATAGAACCCACCTACAGCCAGATCCCAGATGACGAAGACAGCGGACCGATGTCTTTCTATGCTGATGCTGGAGAGATCTCGCTTCATGTCGTCAGAAACAGGCGACAGAATCGACTATCTGAACGATCCATTGCCACACATGGATCGACTGGACAGACCGACGGCCAGCGAAATCCCTTCTACAGAAACACCGCCGAGGTTGAAGGTATAAGGTCCCGGCGACAGCAGAGGACAGCTTTGGTATCTCAGCCTGCCGAAGGTGTCAGGAGGTACGTCAACGTCACAGATGCAATCCTGTCTAGAGATGAAGACGTCACAAGAGCTCATATCGCTTTTCTGACACAGCCTACATGTAACACATATTGGTCATGGGAGATCCAAGGAGAAGGAAACCTTGTCACACCACGGCGTGTGTCCCTCCCCACTGTCACACTACCTAACACCTACTGGCCATGGGAGCTTCCGGGGGAGGGAGCCAGTTTCACACGACGACGTGTGTCCCTCCCCACCGTCACACTGCCTAACACCTACTGGCCTTGGGAGCTCCCAGGGGAGGGTACACAAAACACAGCACAGCGTTCGTACATAAACCTCACACTACCTAACACCTACTGGCCATGGGAGCTCCCAGGTGATGGAACCAGTTTCACACGGCGACCTGTGTCCCTCCCCACCGTCACACTACCTAACACCTACTGGCCTTGGGAGCTTCCAGGGGAGGGAACCCACACATCACAGCGTTCGTCCATTTACCTCACACTGCCTAACTAACACCTACTGGCCTTGGGAGATCCCAGGGAGGGAACTAACTTCACTTAACCACTAATTTACCATTTCAGTTTGCAGGAATAACAGTTTCACACGAGTGAACGAACAAACCTAATGCCTCTAACGGACTTTGCACATATTGATAATAATTCGACACACACTTGAGCTTGCCAGGCAAATCTTCACCATGTCTCTATTAGAGACAACTGCTTTCTGAGCCCCGAAGTTCCATCGTCAAAACAAAAATTATCGAAGTCACTTAAGCTGCATCCTTAGATATTATGGCGATGCCAAAAAATTAAGTTTTTTCATTTCTTTACAAAGTAAGTTGAATCAACCCTACTTCGTTGCAAATAAGTGTCATTCAGGGAGTGGAGGTGCCAAAATATTACACCATATATGGTTTCAGCCATGTTTGTTTACATTCTGGTATTTTGTGGTGGTATCACAAACTGTGTGCGCCTCGTGTGGGCCATAGTGGGTATAGTGCCAACCATAAATGTCAGAAATGTGAGATAATTGCACAAAAATGTTGAAAAGTGGAAATAAATTACAATCACATTAATATATTTTTCAATTAAAATATTTCAATTTTGGCACAAAAAAGTTACATAATGCCCCTTTAAACAAAAATCGTCCCTTACGCCGAAATTCTAAGAAATTATCGTTCTGTCTTTCTAGTCTCTGCCCAGTCTGCCGTACTCCTTGGGCTACTGATATAAAAAAGAAATTGGTCAAATAGGGAGGATAACTTGAGGATAAAAATGTAGTCGGAGAATTTGTAACTCTTTGACCGACTAATTGTTCCTATAGGTTTTTACCTTATTTTGTCATTTTTTTCTGAAACCTTATTAAATTTGAGGGATAATATACAAGCTTGTCAACATCTCATACACCTTGGTGATTTTCTAAATAATACTTCCACCAAAACAAGACGGGCCATTTAAGAATATAAAGACAACTGTCTTTGCATCATCCACTTTTATTTTGGGGCTGGGGGTGGATTGTTAAGACAATTATCATACAATTTTACCAATAACTTGGTTTTACTAAGTAACTACATGTTGGGCTAGATATCTGAAACCTAAGCCTATATTTGGTGACTGTTGTACAAAAGAATGTCATTAAGATCTTGTGGGGTGTTTATTATGTATAAACACTGTGGTCAAAAGAAAAACATATCAACAAAGAGAAGGAAACACAACATTTTCAATATTCCTATTCTTTGTAATTTCATATTTGTTCTGACTGTTCTAAATTTTTAACAGTCCCCTGGCAAAAGCCTGCTATGAACGCTAGGTGTATATTGGGCCAAAGGGTGTTATACACTGACTATAAATAAGGAATATTCTGAAAAAAAAAAGTTGAAGCAAAAGCATGTACAGACTAGAGATCATTGATCCCATAGCTTCGTTATTGGTATTTGTGTTGTATTGTTTTTGTAATGTGTTTTGTATTGTAATGTTATTGTAATTTGTAATGTATCTATCAGAATATAAGTAATTTTTTTGTCTATATACCATTACCTCATACGCCCATGGCCTATTTAGCCGAGCTTATTGTGACAAGGCTAATTAAGCAAATGTATAGAATTATTAGAATGGCACATTACAGAGGCAGTCAGTTCAATGGAGACAGCTAAACCGATGACATAAGTGTTGAGAATTTTGTTCAGAAAAGTGTCTGCAATCTCATAACATTTTATAACACTTAACCTATGAGCTGTGACTATCAGGCCTCAAAATATTGTAGGACAAGATTATAAGAAAAACATCATGGAGGAAAACTGGAATATAGCAACTTGTGACGATATCAAATCCTCAACTTTATATTTACCACCGTCAAACCCAGAGGTAACGAACAATGATTCCTGACTCAACCTAATAATAAGTGGTGTGTAGTGATCTAGTTTTCGGATCACTGAACAAGACAGGAACTCGAATCCCGATCTGTCCTTCGGAACCCCTAGTGGAGGACCTCTACACCTTAAAGACACCACAACACTTCTGGAAGACAGAGCTTCGTACACTTTGTTCTGTGAAGGAGAAAACCTACCACCGCAAGGGCACAAGATCGGTCGCATGTCAGGACACGAACCCGGGACCTCTTGGTTCCGAGTCGAGCACTCTGCCGCTACGCCACACGACCCCACTAAATATACACTGTTGTGTGAGACCAGCATATAGATATGAATCATGTCGCTGTCTACAAGGATAATTTACAATTTTACACAATGATCTCATATGCATATGGGTCCTTCGTCGAACTTGTACAGTTTTAAGGTCGCAGACGAGCTAATCTCCCACTGGTCGTGACAGAGAAGACAGACTGTATATGTACAGTACCACTGTTCCTATGTATTGACATTGTACCGCTCTTATCGACAAGCTCAATGAACAGTGGACCACAGCTTAATGTCCCGTCCTATCAAATGGCTGCGACCCTGATCCAGAAGCATGCATGAGTGATCACAACAGCTGAGATTCGAACTCACAACCTCTTGGACCAAATCACTGGACAACCCTCGCTAATACTTAAGACCTGCTTCTTTACTTTTAGTGTACATTTTGTGAAGAGATTCATACTTGTTATGCCGAGGCCCTGATATGTCACAGCTCATGGTCTAAGTTACTTCACAACTTTTATCATGTTTTTAAACTGTTTTCTTTAGGCTTCAAACCAGCGTTATAGAAACAAAAAATAACACAACATCGACAAGCACAGAAAAATACATATTTACAGAACTGTTGGAAGTGCGTGGGTGGTTAAAACGTTTTATGTTGCCAACACAACCTCCTTTCTGATAACTTCTTTGATTGAACCTTTTTGTAGCCACCTTCTTTCTGATGACTTCTCTGATTGAAAATAACATCTGGAGTCGGCCTCCATTGAACTGGCACCTCTCGTATGTAGTATTGAATATTTTGTGGCGCACTTTTGGAATGTAATCGAGTCTCTTACAACGTATGTAATATCCAGAGAAATTCTCCACTCGATTGTTACACTATATCAAAGACTTGCTAGCCCTTATTGTTTTAGCAATTAGGATGTTTTCTTCTATACGTACACATCTTTTTTGTACTAAGTACTAAGACGTGGTGACGGCACGCTCAAGTTTTTTCAACTTATATTAATGCCGCCACCAAAACAGAGGACAATACAATACTCATTTTTACCTGAGCGAAGTGAGAAAAGTCGTGTAAAGTGCCTTTACCAAGGGCACAAGATCGGTGGCATGTCAGGACTCGAACCTGGGACCTCTTGGTTCCGAGTCGAGCAATCTGCCGCTGCGCTATACGACCCCATAAAGTTCTTCTTCTGTATATGTTTTAGCAGGGAAATCATCGGTCCCTGTGGTTGCTATGCTACAATCAACTGCTTTTTATCCCATATACATATTTGACATACATATATGTACATATAGATTATCCGCTTTATTTTGTATGTATAGTAAATCATTAATTTCAACGGATTTCACGACTATGTGACAAATGATGCTACGTCTGCAACTATATGATAATGTTTAGAAGGAACAGTAGTTCTACCAGAAAATGTATTAACTCGTATTGTAAAGAACGTGCTTTTAGCCGAACAATTAGGTGGCACCAAAGTCTGGACCCACTTTATGAATATGTAAGGCCAGAGCAAGTAATCTTTATAGATGACATCAGCGTGCGTATTACATTTCGAAAAAAAAACAACAAATTTTGCTGCTCTAAAATTTACTTGCTGTGGCCTAAATGATAAAAACTTGACCAACAGACGTGCAAAATACTAACATGAATCAAATTAATGTTTACCGCTTACCTCGAGCTCTTTTGTATATTATCTATTAAGAAATAAAGATGAGAATTATGATAAAGAATATGTTGAGGACCTGAGTGTTTACATCTAATATAAACCTATAAGTAAGAAGTATTTGGAAAACAAGTACATGTATTCCATTTTCTTGTACAACAAGAACCTAGGAAAAACAAACAAGTTATGTTCGTGAAATTATCATGCATAACTTCCGAGTCATAAAGAATACAAAATAAGTAACACATAATGATTCGCTAAACAAGCGCGTTATTGTCATTGTTAACTGACATATGGATTTATTTATGTTGAAAATCAAACTCGCTCTCTGTAAAGAACAAAATATCGTTTACTAAATTCCAGGTACGAAAATTGATTTCATATATAAATTCTAATCATACTGTATATATTGGTAACAATAACTCTTGATTACGCACACAATGCATATGACTCACTATCATCTAACTATATCCTCATTATTTATTATAAAGCTATAAAAAGCCAGTGGACGCATTGAGTATTTGGAAATTATTGTGCAATTTTATATAGCAATTATACTACTTTTTTAATTGCTTCATACGCATGAAACATGACAAAAATGTCCTCTGTAGTTTGTAGTGTGATTGCTGAAAAGGCAAAGAGGGCACCCAGAGCAAAATACACTTATGGAAATTCACAGAATTTCATGCAACTTCATGCAAATTTCTTTTATTTTCATTTCATTTTCAAGAACTCAAGAAACATGTGAAAACCGTGACAATCATAAAGTGAATTTCATTAAGTAACAATGATAACCATAAAAAGAATGGCAGCTATAAATTGATTAAGTCAAAAACCACTGCCAAATATTTTCAAAATATTGAAAATTGGCAGGTTTTCTAATTTTGATCTAGTTTTAATGATAACTGATTACGATATTGCTTTCAAGCAAAGCAATCTTTTGTGCTTTTTATTTGTTTTTCCGAAGAGCGGAAAAATACACAAAAGTCATTCCATTTCCTAGAATACTAAGTCACACAAAAAACATTAAACTGAAACATAACTTATCTTGTGTCGTATGTCTGTGTGTTACAAAGCAACAAAATATGTCTAACTATAAAACGTGTTCTATAAAGAAACATACTGCTAGTAAGGTAAACCAAAACAAAATCCTGACTTCACTAACATCTTTCTGTAAATGTATGTGTAATTACTAATCTGTGTAATAAAACGAAACGATACTGACTAGTGATTGTAGTCATAGCCAAGCAGACATTGAGAAGACATTCATCGTGTTTTCAGGTAGAGTTCTACGTGATAGAAAAACGTAGAAAACAAGAAACGTAAAAAAAAAAAAGAAAAAAAGAAATTAAGTCCCTGTCACACATCCCGGACATTTCACCGAATACCAGCAAACCAAATTTGGCTGAAGTTTGGGAGCAGTCTGACCAAATTTAGGCGAATCTAATTGAATTTGAGTTAAATTTGAGTCAAATTTGACCGCAGAACACTCCTAAATGTTGTAAACACTTTTAAACTTTCGGCTGGTGCAGCCGAACCATAGCCAACCTCACCGAACACCACCCAACCAACCACATCCGACCTACTCCTAGCCTGACTATGGTTGGGGGGGGGGGGGGTTCCGACGAGAGGCCGATACTTGGCCCATGTGTGACAGGGGCTTAACACAGTCTATCACAATGTCTGCTTGGAAGTTGTGATCGGCACGGGGTGTTTCTTTCTGTCTACCCCTGTGTGCCAGCCCCTGCCGCCGGCCCGCCACCCTGACTCCGCCAGGCTTGGAACGCGAAGAAGGCGTCTGCAACGTAGGCGACCGTGGTGAAGAAAGCAAAGGCCTAGAAAGGGGGCAAGGCATATTTAACAATATGAATATATACTATATGATATACGCCAAAAATCAAGCAACTGGATATGAATTTGGAAACGGTCAGACGTTTCAGGTAGCAAAAAAAAACTGTCTTCACTTATTTATTCATCTATTCGTTTTTGGCAGGCAAGACTGCAAAACCAGCACGAGGCTATCATTATCAAAGGCGGAACTTAAAGGTAATACGAGAGTTCTTTAACGTGTGATGCAAATGATCTCCAAACGAGAAACTGACTTAACAATATCGGTGCCGTTGTGAATGGAAACGTTTTTACGCATTTGTTTCTACGTTGAAGTATGATTTTCTACGTCGGTCAAGGTTAGACATCCAGCATGGTCCAGGCAATAAAATACGCCAAAAAATGATTTTAGTTATGGTCAGACGTTTCAGATACACAATACACAAACTATTGATTGATACGCAAATGAAGTGAAGACAAAGTTTTGATAGTCCTATAGGAAACAAGAATTCGGAGATCTCATACCTCCATGAAATATGTAGAGTTTTTGTGTATGCTCTTCTTTGGATTTGTCTCATTGCAATCTACCATAATCATAATCTATTTTAGTTTATGGTTTTCTAAAGTCCATTTTTCATGGAAGTAGTTATGACTTTCTAGTCCATGCATGGAGGTTTTACCTCCATGGTCCATGTTCTTTTCATACTTACAGCGGCAGCTGCGTACGTGGTGTAGACATTGGTGCCGGCGTACCGTGTGGCGGTGGTGCCTGCCTGGACACACGCCGCTAGGAAGTACAGCACTGACGCGCCACCGTTATACGCCATCTCCTGCAAGATTGAAGGGACACAAACGTTTAGAACCATTACCTCCATGAAAAACGCAAATTACAATCACACGAAGATGTTTTTCAATTATAAATTATTTCAATTTAGAATTTTGTGGTGAATATTTCAATTGAACATTTTTGATTTATAAATGTAACATAATGCCCCTTTGAAAACAAATACAAAAAACGCTTTATTTTTTTAAATGTTACATAATAATAGAATACATAATAATAAAACAAAAACAAATCTGAAAAACATCGGTGAAGGTTAGACATCCAGGTAACAAGATAGGCCCCAAAAAAAACAACAGTTACTCAAGCATTTGGATATGATTTTGGACGGCCAGACGTTAGTGACACTGAAAGATTCAAACTTACGATGAACGGCCACGGCAGTCCTGAGAGAACCGGCACGTTGGAGGGAACGGACAGCATGAACAGGATGAACAGGATGAGGGTGATGAGCCAGGTGGTCACGGCGACGAACATCACCCAGTGCTGCCCCGCCCCTAACCCGCCTGCGTACAACTGGTACGGGTAGGTCGCCACACATGCCCACGTGATCAGACCAAAGAACTGAGGAAAAATAAAAATAAAAACTAGAATGCACAATGTTTACCTTCGCATTATGGTCTGCTCTTAGACTGTTAATTCTCACTCAAACACATTCACACATACAGAAGTCTAAATCCCTCCTGCTATAAAATTGCAACATGATGTAACCCAACACCAGTTACCATGGTGACAGACGTCTGGTTCAAGTCATTGACCTTATTTGGAGAAGAAGAAACAGTATGTTTTCCTTCGGTAAACATAAAAATCAACAGATCACTTGGTAGTCACAAAGATAAGAACTGTTTTCATCTATAAAAGGAAGCTTCAAACGTTATTATTAAAAATCACAAGGAGATCTTGCCCACCAAGATGGCGCCGATACGTCAACAGTGATTAAAAGTCCTTGATTTTCCATTGATTTGACCTTGATTTTCCATTGATTTGACCTTGAAATTTGACCCAAGAAATATGATAGAATAAACAACTGTCCAAACAATCGTAGTATGTGATTTTACACCGTAATTTTTAAAAGTACAACACACTTTGATTGACAACACTTAACGAACTTATGTCACTCGTTGAACGTATTGTCTTAAAAACACGCTATGCTTTATTTGTGTGTAATGGTAGCTAGGGTCAACGACCTTGAAACGTACGCAAACCTAATTTGTCATCATGTGAGAATTTGGTTAAGATGCAGAAAAACAGGCTACTAGATTTTTAAAAACACTTTAAAAACTTTAACAAAATTTTAAACAAGAAACCATGTATATAGACTGATATAGACTGTAGACCTAGAATAGTATTATGAGTTTGTTACGTTTTGACCTCAGACTAGTGACCTGAAAAAAGTACAAACATTCCAAATTCCTTTCTATAACGTTTTGACTAAAACAGGAAAATATATCTTATATGTTCGTTTAAGATTTCATCTTCAAGAAGCAAATACAGCACATACAGTGGAACTAGAGCGTAGTGTGCTAAGCCAATAACGGAATTTGTTAATGCTGTGACTCGAATGCAATTTTGACACACAAAGTTATGTATGTGGCGAATGCAAGTATTAAAACGTGTTTAAAGACTTGCTACATTGAGTTGGTATTCTTTTTAAATCAGCATCAATGGTAATATGACGAACTTCTTGTGAGTAGACCAGTATTAGTGATCTCACGCCCCCCTCCCCCTTCCCTAACAGAACTTCCTAATTTTTAGTGTCCGGGTCGGCCATTTTGATGACGTAAATTTACCAGCACAAAAAAAAGAGGGAGGGGTTTCGTAAAAGGTAAGCGCGTAGTTTGATCGACAGATATATTACTGTTTACCAAGTTCAACATTATATGTACTCATATGTATCGTACTAACTTGAAATTTCGTTTCTGTTAACCGAAAACGTTGGAATTTCAAACCACGCCTCTTTCATGTATGACCCAGGGTCATATTACTTGTAGGGGGAAGTCGACCATTTTAAACTCCCTCGGGGGCTGTTATGTTTAACGTTTTACCTCCACCATTTTAGACACACCTTCAAAAATGGACGACAATTTTTCAAGACGTATATAACACTTACCAGCTCGCAAATCTTGAGAATACCTGGTATACTCTTGATGTATTCGATGTTGAAACTGATCATAGAACCGCCACCTGTTGTAGTTTGAGTTGGTCCAGTCCCCGGCGGTGGCATAGAATCCACCGAATCTGGAAATGCCGGATCCTCCATTTTGTTTTTCTGTACTTGCTAAGGCTTTACACTAAACGAGTGAAGAATTCTGGCCGTTACAGGGCTTTGTGTGCGCAGAGCCCACTTGTCAAAGTTTAACCAGAGCTTGCAAACACGGCCCGCCTATGGCTTGGTGAAGAAGGGTATTGTTTACGGACTCGACCACTCCGTTCCCTAAACGGGGGAATAGTTATACTATCAAAACTTATTTTAATCCTTCAAAAACAATTATCAAGTAATAAAAGTACATTTAGTAACATAATACAATTTCATATGGAATAGAATAATAATCTTTTTACAAAAAGATAATTTCGTCTCATAACTTTCAGTTCATTTGAACTCGCTCCCCTGGAATTCGATGGTATAGTCCAATACAAACATGCATGTGACTGAAACAAAGCTAGGGAAGCGTTACGATAGAGGTCAAAGGGTAATATTGGCTTATTCGGACAAAATTCTAGTATGAACAGTGATATTTTATTGTTACAGTATCTTAGGTAGTTCTGGATTTGATATTAGAACCTTCTGCACACTGTAAACATGTTTATTGGGGTACACATGGTTGATTCTGACTTGAAAGTGAACCTTGAAAGACCGATAGAACGTTTCTAAATGCCTGGCGCCTTCGTCTTGTAAGGTAGGACACGTGGTAATGATGTCACACTAAGATCACAGGGTGTCTTTGTTTCGCATTGCAGGTTAGTGACCTGACGTCGTGTCCATGGATAAAAACAAAACCACACAAAAAACCGCAACACATGCCCTGACCGCAGCACTTGTAAGACGAACAAAACGGCTCCAAAAGAAGCCGGAAGACAGTCGACATACGTGGTCGTGTACATAAGAGATTAGTGTAACGTGTTTGGACTACTGCTACACATGTATATTTGGAGACTATTACAATTGGAAGGGCACAGGGTACATTGGGGGCCAATACCACAATACCGTACAATATCACATGTAGCTTCGAGAAATAGGGAAGTAATTGTTATTGTTCTACATGTATATATAAAGCTGTTTATAATAATATTGAAAAAAAAAAGACCCCGTCCCCATGTCATGTGTCTTAAAGAGAAGTTGAATAAATACATATAGTAAAATTTAACTGTGAAAATAGAAAAACGATAAGCAAGAAGATATGACCATTCTAGAGAGATACCCAGTCACTGGCTACATGCCTTTGAGGAACAAGTATTGCAACAAGCATTACAATTGTTCGCCAATAGATATATATAGATACAGATAAGAGATACATGTAGATATAGATAAAATTGCATTTAGTTTAATTCTGTCTTGATAACTGCAACCATACCATCACCTTTTCCTTTCAACATGAAAACACATAAATAAACACATCCATCATTTTTATACTTAACGTATGTGCAAAGTGGACCTTCACCAATTAGTTACCTTTCATTCATTAAACATATTAAATAACATTACATTATCTGCTAAAGTATTATGATTGAACACCCGTGCAATTTTATGAAAATACAAAAGCTAAAACACCTCAAGGTTAACGTTACACAATTCATACAAATTAAATATAGTACTGAAAATATCTGTGCTACATATTTTCCTGTAGAAATCTATATACCTACAGCCTAACACTTGCTGTCTCTATAGGCTTTCAAAATCATTCTGTTTAAGTTGGTCCATTTCTGGTTAAAATCCCAATTCACTGTATCTTAAGCTAAAAAATCTAGTATACACATCTGCAATATTCTGACCACCACCGGCAATGCTATCATATGTTTGGATTCTATAAAGCCGTACACTAAAAAAACTAATTTTACTAGCATATTATTCAGCCTATTTGGCCAACTTCAGCTATTTTCCTGCTCTCCATTCGATTGTAGTCTGGTATAGACTAAATGTTGATACTAATGTGTGGCTCGGACCCCTACACTGCGGCTGGCTGGGCGGGCGGATCAGGAGTCATGTGCCGGTTGATGGGCGGCTCTTCCCGCCAGGCGGAGAACGACAGGTACGTGTCCAGTCCGTACGCCATGGTCGTGAAGAAGGAAAACGCCTGCAAGGAAAAATTAGAAATGAAGATAAAAAAGTAAATATCGATAAATATTATCAAGTCCATTGACATTATCAGTCCTCTTTCGAAGAAAACTTCACTGTCCACTCTTAAAATACAGTGTAGATATAGTTTTACATGTCTTCTTAAAGTATGTAAATTACAATTTGGCACCAAACATCCTGAGAACGAGATTCAAAAGCCCCCTTCACCCTATGCGACCCATATATAGCACCTAGGGGACGAGAGATGGTATTTTTTTTATCAAATGCCTGAAATCGTGATAAGG